CTGCACCCCACACGGCGGCCAACCCGTGTGCAGAGATTTGTGAAGAGCCCGAAAATCTCTGTTGGTAGGGAAATCACACCATGCAAACGACAGACTGCCGAGCACCAAAGCATCCATGCCGCATTGCTTTTCCTAGCTACAGCTTTTTGTTGATGCTTCATCGTCATATCTAGCCAGCAAGCTGCTCAAATCAGCATGTTCAGCATGAGATATCTTAAGGCAGCAGCCCCAAAATCTTTTATCCTACCGAGAGCTTGAAGCCCGCTTCAACACTGTGTTTTCGCGCTTGGATAGTGCTGAGACGGATATTGCAGTGTTGCAAAAGACTAAGAGTGTGTCTGGACAACAGGGTGTGGACCTGCTTATGGAGGTGCAATGCCTTGGCAAGGTCCTCAAAGAAGCCCTCGAGCCGCTGAATCGCCTGGAGCACTTGTGTTGGAGGGACCGCTTCACAGAGTACATAGGATCCATGAACCCCCTCTCCCTAAACCTCCAAGCCCCTGAACCCCTAAACCAAAACATGACATGGCATGACATGACTGAAGTAACCCCTAAACCGCAACATGTCAAACCAAAACATGACATGGCATGGCATGAGTGAAGTAACCCCTAAACCACAACATGTCGTGGCATGACATGCATGATCTAAACCCCTAAACGAGAAAGTAACATGGGATGGCATGTATGATCCCTTAAACCCTAAACCCCTAAACCAGAACATGTCGTGGCATGACATGAGTGAAGTAACCCCTAAACCACAACATGTCGTGGCATGACATGCATGATCTAAACCCCTAAAGCAGAAAGTGACATGGGATGGCATGTATGATTCCTTAAACCCCTAAACCCCTAAACCAGAACATGTCGTGGCATGACATGAGTGAAGTAACCCCTAAACCACAACATGTCGTGGCATGACATGCATGATCTAAACCCCTAAAGCAGAAAGTGACATGGGATGGCATGTATGATTCCTTAAACCCCTAAACCCCTAAACCAGAACATGTCGTGGCATGACATGAGTGAAGTAACCCCTAAACCACAACATGTCGTGGCATGACATGCATGATCTAAACCCCTAAAGCAGAAAGTAACATGGGGTGGCATGTATGATCCCTTAAACCCCTAAACCCCTAAACCAGAACATGTCGTGGCATGACATGCATGATGTGACCCCTAAACCACAACATGTCGTGGTATGGCATGTATGATGCAACCCCTAAACCCCTAAACCAGAACATGACATGACATGGCATGACATGCATGATGTGACCCCTAAACCACAAAATGTCATGCTATGGCATGTATGCTGCGACCCCTAGACCCCTGAAGCAGAATATGCCATGGAATGGCATGTATGATGTGACCCTTGAACCCCTAAACCCCTGAACCAGAACATGATGTGGCATGCCATGCCTGATGTGACATGCATGATGCACTAGCCCGAAACCCTTAAACCTGACCTCTAAACCCGACAATCTCAACGGCCCTAGATCTCGCAACTGTTACTACGAAGCTACAGAACACAACTGGTTGCAATCTGTGTTTAGCTACACAAGCCTGTATTGAAGTCATCTGAAATGATGGTTTTGCCACAAGTTACAGAACGCAACTGGTTGCAATCTGTGTTTTGCCACAGAAACCTCTATTCAAGTCATCTGAATTGATGGTTTTGCCACAAGTTACAGAACGCAACTGGTTGCAATCTGTATTTTGCCACAGAAACCCGTATTCAAGTCATCTGAATTGATGGTTTTGCCACAAGTTACAGAACGCAACTGGTTGCAATCTGTTTTTTGCCACACAAACCTGTATTCCCGTCATCTGAATTGATGTTTTTGCCACAAGTTACAGAACGCAACTGGTTGCAATCTGTATTTTGCCACAGAAACCTCTATTCAAGTCATCTGAATTGATGGTTTTGCCACAAGTTACAGAACGCAACTGGTTGCAATCTGTTTTTTGCCACACAAACCTGTAGTCAAGTCATCTGAATTGATGTTTTTGCCACAAGTTACAGAACGCAACTGGTTGCAATCTGTATTTTGCCACAGAAACCTGTATTCAAGTCATCTGATTTGCCACAAGTTACAGAACACAACTGGTTGCAACCTGTTTTTTTGCAGCAGAACCCTGCAACTAAGAATCATTTCAATTCATGGTTGTGTGAGAAAAATACAGAACCCAACCGGTTGCAAGCGAATGCCATGCCTCGTCGTCGGGCGCAAGCAGTCTTGTGCCACCACAGGTGTAGGGTTTGGGGGTTTAGGGTGTAAAGGTTAGGGCTCAAAGGCCTGCAACGACAGGGTTAGCGGCGCTAGGGTTTAAGGTCAAGGGGTTCAGGGCCTCAGGTTCAGGGTTTATGTGGTTCGGGGTTTCGGGCATAAGGTCCAGGGGTTCAGGGTTACCAGGGCTGAGGTGAAGGTCGATGGCATGTGCAAATTGGGGGCTTGGCAACTATTGCTATGGAGGAGTTTAGCCTTACACTTCAGGATGAGGCATCATGTTCAGAGCTCAGGGGAGTAGGGCTTCGGGGGTTTGGGTTTAGGGTTCAGGGTTAAAGAATTTGGGCATTTAGGGTCTTGCTTCGGGCTTCTGGGCAAGCACTCTAAACCCCAACCCCAAAACCCGAGCCGACCCCCACCAAGGCACCCTGAACAACTCAAGACCTGCATAAAGCCCCACTACCTGCCTAAGCCAAGAGGGGGCTTGTTCAACCCCCACCAAGGCACCCTGAACAACTCAACACCTGCAAAAAACCCCACTACCTGCCTAAGCCAAGAGGGGGCTTGTTCAACCCCCACCAAGGCACCCTGAAAAACTCCAGCACCTGCCTAAAAACCCCACTACTTGCCTAAGCCAAGAGGGGGCTTGTTCAACCCCCACCAAGGCACCCTGAATAACCCTATCACCCCACTAAGCCAAGAGGGGGCTTGTTCAACCCCCACCGAGGCACCCTGAATGACCCCGAAGACTAATATCCCTGCCCCCAAAACCATCTAAGCCCTAGCAACCAAAGAGTTTAAGACTTGGGATTTAGGGAGTCGGCTTAGGGTTTAAGAGTTTAGGGTCGTGTTCATAGCTGCTGCAAAACTGTTCCATGAGTGTGATGTGTGGTGTTAAAAAACGGTTTCCCATGTGATTTGCTGACAACAAGTTTGATTTGGCAAAACGACAGTTGAGCACACCAGAGGAAAACATGCAAAACATTTAAAATATGCACAAATATTTCGGTGTATGTGTGTGCCCAAAGCATGAAAACATGTGTGTTGGCTCCACAAAACTCAGCTTCAAAGCATGACATAATTGGTGTTTTTTGTGCTTTTTTTGCTTTCTTTCCACGGCAGGACTCGGAGGGTGAAACACCCAATCGGAAATGAAAACCCCAAATGACACGATAGTGGCTTCATTCTGGGCGCGGGTACAGCCAAGGGAAGAGAGCCACTTCGATAAACAGCTCCAGGATCGCACTGGGTCCTAAGTTGCCTGGACCCTTAGGGTTTGCCAGTTGATCATCCAGCGCTTGTTTCCAGCCAGCGTAGCCGTGGTTGTGCTGTAGCAGCCACCGCAAGGCTCGCTTCGCGCTCGTCTGCTCAGTGGACGAGAGCTGCGCTATGCGCGTCTCCACGGAACTTCTCTGCCAGCTGACAGTAGACAATTTGTCTTTCCGCATGTGTCCATTGCGGTGCTGGGGTTCACCCTGATGTAGGACCAACAACGTGAGTGCTTGACCGACCCCGGCCGGTAGATCGCGGAAGGCTGCTGGAAAGGCTTCGGGACTAGGCACTGCATGTCGCAGGCCCTCCTGTTGAGTGCAGTTCCAGCACGTCTTCTCCAGAATGCTGTCAGGCTCACCTGTGTTGCTCAGGAACACGTCTCTAGATGTCGCGAGCAGAACTTACACTCTCAGGCAACGCCCTTGTCTTATGTGGCTCTCTTGATCCCTTTTGTCTTCCGCGCCTGGTGCGCGTAGATCCTTGCACGTGAGCTTCCGCTGCATGAGCCGCCCGCACTCCTTCCAGGAGACTTTGCAGGCAGCCGAAGGACAGGAACAATTTCCATAACACCCAGCCCAAACCACCCTCCATTAGCGTTACTGCTAAGACCTGGGCTTCACAGCGTCGCTCTTGTCCTGACACCGCGTCCAGGCGCCGAAGCGCAGCCACTGCACCATTGCTACGTCTCGCTCTAGCCAGCAACCATTCTCAAGGTCGGGCTGGCCCCACGCTGCTTGCACCTGTACGTGCCGCTTCGCGGCATGCGTCCAGGTCGTCCTTCTGCTGCTGGCAGCGCATGTGGTCAAAGGCACCTGTTCTCGCCAAGTACGGCGCCAGCAGGCGGCATCCCAAGGTGCGAACGTCAGCGGCATGGCACCGTGAGTAGTACGTAGAAGTGCTACGAGGGAGCGCTCCCTTGCAAGCTGCTCTTTCTTGAACCCGAGAAACTCGGCGACGAACTTGCCTTGCGACTCACGTTCGACTCTCCTGCAACGGTTTCCTGCACGTGAGCTTGGCTCGGACAGAGGCCCTGCGGTCGAACTTCTCTAACATGTGCAGCTAGGGTCCTCGGGCGTCTCCTCCCCGCTGGCCCGATAGTGCGTATGTGGGTCTTTGTGCACCTTGGTTGGCAAAAACGGCTGAAAGTCCTGCAAAACACCTCGGCTACATTGCTGGCCGCGTGGCTCCAGTTCCGCTGCATCCAGGTCTGCAGCTTCTGCGGCAGAAAGGCTACCTAAGATGCGTGTCTATCAAGGCACGCAGCCAATCACATTGCATGTTCAAGAAAACAGCTCCCTTCAGCAAGCACTCCTTTGACTTGCGAGGCCTCGCGACGGTGAACTGCTGCGAAGTGCTTCCGCTGCAGCTTCCGGCCCTGAGCCGTTGCCTTGCTTGAACCTCCTTCTGTACTATCAAACCTTCGGCCTCGAACTCGGTTCTTGCCCGCCGGTGCCTGCTGCGGTTGCATGGTGTTCTTATATATGGCATCTAGATCTCAGCCCCTCACTGCTGCCCTCCGCCGGCGATCTTCTTCAGCGCCGCGCGCTTGGCTTTCAGCCGGCCAAGCTCTTCCTCTTGGAACACAGCCTCCTTGTCTTTCTGGTATTCCATCAAGACTTCCGCTACTTTCTCGTTGTAATCCTTGAACTTCTGGAACAGCTTCGCCGCCTTCTTCTTCTGGGTCTCCGGTGGAACCACGGTCGACAAAAGGACGTCCATCTCCTCGCGTAGGCTGGCCTTTGCTTTGCGCCAGCTGCTCTTGGGCTTCTGAGGAGTACCCTTTTCGCTCTCCGAAAACAAGAGCTGTGTGTCGGCCTGCAGAGCATGGAGGGATTCTTTCTTCAGCCTGACATTGTGCGAGGCGTGCACTTCTGCGCTAATGTAGGCGACCAGCATGTTTCCGGATTCAGGCTTGCGCATGAGAGCCGCCTTGGCTTCGGTGCATTCGGTCGGCACGTCCTGAATTTTGGTGGCGTAGACGCCAGGCTGGCCCAGCGCAGCCATCGCATTATAAGCCACGACTGCGTGACCCAGGCGCTGCAACCCAGGCCCTGAATGGCGGCGTGGCGCGGCCAGTCGCGCCGGATTTCATTGGCGAACTGCAGGAGCTTCTTGACCGCTCCACTGAGACCGGCGCTGGTCCGCTCTAGATCTGGGTAATCTTGAGCGTTGAGGAGTTCACACGACTCACGCAGACTATGCTCCTCAGCGAGCTTCTGCCAATGCGCCACGAAGTCCTTATGGAAAACCTGAGCTCTGCTAGCTGCGTCTGCATGTAAACTTCTATGACTTCTATGACAAAGCCGATATCTACTATCCTCTGACCCTACGCCTTGCTTTCTAATCCACATCCGGGGAGCTTTCTTTTGTCCGAGGTCTTGGACGACATCCAGCCACGACAGCAGCGACCCGGCGAGTTCCGAGAAACCAATGCCGGGTCTGTTGATCAATTCTGTATTGTACGCCTCCAAGATGTCCCCGAGAGCTTGCGGCGATGCTAGCACCTGTGGCTTCGCCATGCACTCATACACTGCCGAGCTATCGCCGTTTGGCAGCTCCCGCGTTTTGCCGGCGTACCGAGACATGACATCCGTGCTGTTGTGGTACACCTGATTCGCATAGAGCTTTTTGCCAGCCTCCCATTTCTTGCCCTTGCCGGAGCCTTTGGCGTTGAATCCTGCGCGGCCGTAGGAAGAGCTCGAGACACCAGGGCGAGCGGAAGGGGCTGAGAAGCCCACCATGTTGCTGATGGATAGAGGAGGATTCAAGACGCCAGGAAAGAGCGCAAAGAATGCTGAGCACGGCTGCGCGGAAGGCCAGTACACAGGACAGCTAGTCGCACAGGCCTTCGCACTACCACTAGGGGTGGTCTTCCTGCGGCTGAGTTGCAAGGGGGCCAGGTCGCGCTGCGGAATGCAAGGAAGCAGCCTCGGCAATATAATCCTCGGCTGCGTGCTGTCGCCCAGGCGCGACAACAAGTATATGCGCGCTGTCGCCCAGGAGCTACAACAAGTACGTGCGTGAAAACCAGAAAGATGTGCGGCCAAGAACCACTTTGTATGACACACACGGGCCAAGGATCACCATCCAAGCTACATCCGCATGATGCAGCCCTTCCCAGAAACTTGCCTCAGAAGCGAAAGCGCCGAGACAGCAACAGCCGACTGCTGGGTGACATCAAAGCACGGTACAGGAAGTTTCGAAGGGCAGCTAAGGCAAGCAAGACAACAGCGGTGACGGAGAGGACAGGCAGGAAAGTGCAGCCAAGACACTGTGTCAGAGACCGAAAAGCAACGTGCCATGTCTCTCCTTCAAGGGCGCCCTGTGCCACAGAGGAGGCTGTAACTAAATGCTTGCTCATACCCTGCCTAGCTTCTTGAGCTTCCGCCCACCCATACCCATCCCAGAGTCGCCCCCGAAGTAAAAAGAATCCACTGCACCAAGCAGAGAAGCGGCAACGTCCAGCAGCACAATTTCACCCCACAGTCTTCAACTTCTCCCAGCCCATACCCACCCCATTGCTAGACACCAGCAATCCTCAAGCGACAAATGTTGGACAGAGATCCCCCTTCTTGGAGAAAATTGTGGCCAGTAGTATTATCTCTGCCTTCACCGCGAAATCAGCAGCTCCCCCTTCTTCAGAGAAGCGTTTTCACCAGTAGTCCTCTCACACCGCTTTGCCCCAGAATTTTTGAAAACAGATCCCCCTTCTTAAGAGAAGCGTGTTCACCAGTGGTCCTCTCACACCGCTCTGCCCCAGAATTTTTGAAAACAGATCCCCCTTCTTGAGAGAAGCGTTTTCACCAGTAGTCCTCTCAGACCGCTCTGCCCCAGAATTTCTGAAAACAGATCCCCCTTCTTTGGAGAGACGTTCTCACCAGTAGTCCTCTCACACCGCTCTGCCCCCGAACTTCTGAAAGCAGCTCCCCCTTCTTTGGAGAGACGTTCTCACCGGTAGTCCTCTCACACCGCTCTGCCCCAGAATTTTTGAAAACAGATCCCCCTTCTTTGGAGAGACGTTCTCACCAGTAGTCCTCTCAGACCGCTCTGCCCCGGAATTTTTGAAAACAGCTTCCCCTTCTTTGGAGAGACGTTCTCACCAGTAGTCCTCTCACACCGCTCTGCCCCCGAACTTTTGAAAACAGCTCCCCCTTCTTGAGAGAAGCGTTTTCACCACTAGTCGTCTTGCACCGCTCTGCACCCAATTTTCTGAAAACAGATCCCCCTTTCTTGAGAGAAGCGTTTTCACCAGTAGTCTTCTCACACCGCTCTGCCCGAGGATTTTTTGAAACAGATCCCCCTTCTTGGAGAGCCGTTGTCACCAGTAGTCCTGTTACTCTGCTCTGCCCCAGAATTCTTGAAAAAGTTCCCCCTTCCTCGGGAAATTTTTGGCCAGTAGCCTTTACCCGCATTTGCCGCGACATCTTTGAAAACAGATCCCCCTTCTCAACGAGAAGTTTCGCCAGCAGACCTTCCAACCAGAATTTTTGAAAAAGTTCCCCCTTCCTCGGGAAAATTTTGGCCAGTAGCCTTCTACCCGCCTTTGCCGCGACAGCGTTGAAAACAGATCCCCCTTTTCCACGAGAAGTTTCCCCAGCAAACCCTCCAGCCAGAATTCTTGAAAAAGTTCCCCCTTCTCCGGGAAAATTTTGGCCAGTAGCCTTCTACCCGCCTTTGCCGCGAAAGCTTTGAAAACAGATCCCCCTCTCCACAAGAAGTTTCGCCAGCAAACCCTCCAGCCAGATTTTTTGAAAAAGTTCCCCCTTCCTCGGGAAAATTTTGGCCAGTAGCCTTCTACCCGCCTTTGCCGCGAAAGCTTTGAAAACAGATCCCCCTTCTCCGCGAACAGTTTCGCCAGGAAACCCTCCAGCCAGAATTTTTGAAAAAGTTCCCCCTTCCTCGGGAAAATTTTGGCCACTAGCCTTGTACCCGCCTTTGCCGCGAAAGCGTTGAAAACAGATCCCCCTGCTTTCGCGAAAAAGTTACGCCAGGAAACTCTCCAGCCAGAATTTTTGAAAAAGTTCCCCCTTCCTCGAGAAAATTTTGGCCAGTAGCCTTCTACCCGCCTTTGCCGCGAAAGCTTTGAAAACAGATCCCCCTTCTCCGCGAACAGTTTCGCCAGGAAACCCTCCAGCCAGAATTGTTGAAAAAGTTCCCTTTTCCTCAGGAATATTTGGGCCAGTAGCCTTCTACGCGCCTTTGCCGCGAAAGCGTTGAAAACAGATCCCCCTTCTCCACGAACAGTTTCGCCAGGAAATCCTCCAGCCAACCTTTTTGAAAAAGTTCCCCCTTTCAACAAGTTCCCCATCCTCAACCATGTCTGCAAGAAGCTGTTGAAAGTCTTTTCTTCCACCTCACCACTGCAACATTTCTTCGCGCGCCGCTGTTTTCTTTAGTCCCTCGCTCCACCGGAAGACTGCAACCCTTCGCTTCTCCCTCTTCGTGAACCGTTTTGCTGCTCCTAGCTGTTGGTTTCGGGCGTCTTCTGTTCCACCTGGCGCCTGCAACTTCTCTTCGCTCGCAGCTGTCTTCTTTTAGTCCCTCGCTCCACCTGAACACTGCAACCCTCGCTCGTGTAAGCTGTCCCTCTCTGTCTCTGAAGCCTTTTGCTGCTCCTCGCTGTTGCTGTTGGGAGTCTTCTGTTCCACCTGGAGCCTGCAACCTTCGCTGCTGTCTCTCCTGGCTAGCTTTCCCTCTAGACTGCTGCTCTCTTTCGCTCTTGTCCTTGTGCACCTTCCCTAGCCTTTGTCCCACGTATCTGTCTTAGAAACCTCTTCTCTCGGCTGCACCTCGCGGGTCCTTGTGCTCAAGCCTTCGACTGCACAGCTGCTGCTCACCACCAGCACCTTGGCTGCTGCCACGCTTCGGTTACCACCTACCGTTCCTAGTCTTTGTTCCTTACTGCCTTCGCGCACACACGTAGCTGCTTATGATATGTCACGGGAACCACCCTGCGAAGTTCCCTGCACTGTTTTGCCCACGAGCCCAACCCCAAACCGGAGCCAGGATACCCGCGGAAGATCAAGTGCTGGAACCAACCAGGTCAGAACCAGCGCCCAGCCGCCCACGCCCCAGCAGCGCTCGCCACCAGAGTCGCACCGCAGCCATCGTTCGCTCCACACAGCACCTGACAGGGCGAAAACCACAAGCTCCCCCTTATAAGCTTACAGGAACCTGTCAGAAAAGCACGTTAGCAACGTCAGGATGAAATGCTCCAAGTTGCTTCTGCTCCCGATCAGTCACCGAATGGCTCCCACTCTCAACCGTCAAGACATCGATGCTAAGCCAGATCCCACAGAGCATTTCCCTTGCAATTGCACAGAGCCAGGCACTTACAACCGACCGCTGGAAGGGAAACCCGACACACGAAGAGCGCGCCAACACCTCCGCATGACAGGACTCGACTCACGCTGCGTGCTATCTAAGCAAGACCGAATCACTGTGGGAAGCTGTTTGCCAGCTGTCACCGGCCAGGAGCACCTGGCAGGGGCTTTGTAATACAAGGCTTTCCCTCCGAAGCATTGGAAGAGGCTTACAGGAAACCCGGGTCGTCTAAGACAGAAAGAGGGGCTTAGACGGAGCATCCTAGGAGCCCTCCACCCACCCACACCACTCCAGAAGAAAGAAAGCAACAAAGCGTCGGACTCAACACGTCACCGAGTTGCGTCTGCCAACAAACCGACTAGTGACTAGTGAAGAATAGAACCGTTGGAACCAAACGACGACCGGTGCTGTGCTCGAGCCACCAGTACTCACGGTATGCATGTCGGAGTGCGTTTGCAGTTCCGATCGCCAACGGCAACGTCACGGGAGACTGTCCAGGGTTCTGTCACCCAGGCTGGAGCCATGTCCAACCGAGGTAACTGAGCCTTTTCAGCTCCTTGCGTCCCTTCTCAGCGTAGTAGCTCCAGGACCAGCGCTTACTCTATTCCCTCTAGCCCTGACTTAGCCATCGAAGCTTAGTGGGGTCTGAAGCACAGCGTTGGAGCTTGTGACTCCATTTGAAGTTTCTCCGACACAGCCGAGCTGTGCCCAGAAGCTGGGTTCTGTCGCTTGACGACTCTCATAGGTGGCTAGGACTGCATGGTGCTCGTCCAAATGCAGCTAAGGACCTGTTCCTGCGTCCTCCCGTATCAGTCCATGGACTTGCTCTGTGTTCGGATGCAGACTTTCAACGATAAGTTCTCAATCCCGTCTTCCTCCCTATGTTCACTAGGACATTCACTCTCAGCCGAGGTCAATCCACTTGCTTTGAGCCTGCACAAACGCGTTGCGTCTTCTGGCGAAGCCGAAGATATCATCCGACATCAAGTAAAGAGGTCCGTCTAGGACATTCACTCTCCGCCGAAATCTATCCACTTGCCATGAGCCTGCACAAGCGTATTGCGTCTTCTGGCGAGGCCGAGGATATCATTCGACGTCGAGCAAAGAGGTCCCCCTCGTGAACACAATAGGATGCAGGGACTTATCTAGTCCGTCTTCTTCCAACATGGATCATGACCATGTCTGACACGGATCCGTATTCATTGACACAGGACCAGGTCCGAGCATTTGTTAGAACCGCCCCACAGGTCCGGACGCCCAAAGAACTTGGACTAGCAGTTCCTAATCCGTGGCCACCATAGCATAACCGAATGCAGTGGGCGACTGAAGCATTTTCGCTGTTCTTTTGCTTGGCTGCTTTCAAGCAAGCTTCAGGCCACCGCAGGTGCTCAACTATGGCAGCTCCCTACGAGATGTT